ACCATAACCCATTTCAACCAAGTGCTAGAAGTGCACAGGGTGCTGTGTCATCTCGTTGCCCTCATCACTGGTCTCCTGATCTGACTGACAGGCCTGCTTCATTTCAGATGTTTCCATCAGAACCGGTCTAAGCCTCTGCAGTTATTTAGTTGCTAATGTCTAGAGGAGCTTGGACTACCTCTGGAGACGAAATTAGAAATGCAAGAACTACAGTGCCCCGAAAACCCTGCCCAAATTGATTTAATTAATCCGTAATGCCAGCACCCTGAAGGCCCTATTTAAATACAGTTTCACTGCTAGTGAGTCGCTCCAGGAACCTTGATTAAAACTGAAAGCAGTCAGAAGTAAAAAGTATAAATCTGCCTTTAATTTAAAACTCTCAACATGAAAATGTGGCATAAGTCTCATGTTCTGGTTGGCTCTTAAAATACATGTCACAGTCATTAATACGATGACAATCTTCTCTATAAATTTCATGAAGGTACAGTTGGTCCAAAAACATCTGGGATTTCTACATAAGCACTGGTGTTCCACAACATACACTTAAGATACTATTATTGTGGGCCATGTTCAGATGGTTTTATCCACTTATAAGTATTTCTTTCAGAATTAACAATGCAGTAGTTACTGCAGAATTCAGCTGCAGCTCTCATCTCTGACCAGTCCCCATAGGTCCAGGCAGCTTTCTTGTATTTCTGTCAATACTGGGGAGAAATGACACAGAGAATCCAGAAATCATTGCCTTTGAGGGTGCATTGTTTAAACCGTGGCAGTACTGTCATGGTAATTTTGGGCATAGTCTCGTAGTAAAATTAGCTTGTGTTTCTTAAAATACTGACCATTTTGGAGCAAGAATTCCAGAATGTCCTGGAGCAAGTCTGAGGAAGGGATAATCCACTGACAGATATTTGAGGGCATTTAAAGAAATGTAGATCAAAAGCAAATAAAGTAAACAATCAAAGAGAAGAAAACATGCGAGGAAGAGCTGATTGAAAGGGGAAACAGAAGCTGTTTCTAGCTTTTCATTACTATCAGACTTTTGGGGTGAGTATTGGGGACACAAGGACCAGGAAAGAAAGAAGGAAGACTTGCAGACATTTCTTCCTCCACAGAGATTTGAACATCAAGATAGTGTTCTCTCCTTTTCTTTTCACTTTTCTAATTCTTAACTAATTGCTGGAGCTTTCATGAGCAAAGCCATAGGTATTTGCTGCTCGGGTATCGAGTACTCTTATAAACAAAAAGGAATGGTACTGCGGGCTCCTAAGAAAAGCACTCCCTGAATGAGACAGGGGACGGTGACCTATTCCCTCCGATGTTTTAAGATTCCCTATTGATGTTGATCACCAAGATGAGTGAAGACCTGTTCTGATTGAGCAGTCTTGCTGCGATCCATATAAGGCCTTCTTTCTTTAGACATACCTTTTTAGAGGGCTGAAATTTAAATTAATAAACCAGCCAGGGCTGCATGCCGACATGACTTGAAAGTTAACTGGGATTTATTGATCTGCAGCCTACAAGCTGTTCTATGCCGCGCTGCACATGAGAAAGCCAGTCTTTTAAGTCGCAAAAATTTTTTTTTAATTACCTTAAAAAATATCTTTTACATCTTTAGACAGTAGTGTTGTTTGACTGGGACCCCTCTACCCCTCTTTCCCCCAAATTGGGTCATTAGTGACTCCTGTTGACAACAGTAGTGGCTAATGCGACATTCATAATCCATGCTCAATTTTCTGCATTAATGGAGGGGAATGGAAGCCAGGGCTGGGCCAGCCACTCTTCAGCCCCGACTAGGAGGGCTGGAGGGGAGGGGAACTTCAGAAGGTGGGGATGCAACTGGAAGCTCCTCATTTCCTTTATTAACCTGGTAAGAAGCTTGCCTCCCTGCATGTCCCAAACTCCTTAAGACTATTTCCGTTCCTCACTGGACACCTTCTCTTGAAGAGACACCTGTTATGTAAATCTAGACCCTTCCTATCGGGTGTCCTAGAATAACCTTTTAAATTTCAAAGAGGTTTACCTGCCTTTGCAGTTCAGACAATGTGTATAATGGATACCCCCCTTGGGTGCTTTGTGCTTTTATAAACTTTTCCAGATGCTCCTCTCGCCTTCTATTTTCTATGCCAAACAACCTCCATCTTCTATCCTCTTCTGTCCACCTATTTTTTTAATCATGCAGGTGTGTGCACACACACACACACATACACACACACACACACACCCCTATATAATGAGGTTTTTTTCGCCTTCATTTTTAGAAATAATACAATATTTTATTTCTCCAATTTCACTGGACTTTTTAAATCAAGTATCCTGCAGGACATAGTAATTAAACTCACACATATTGTATGGGTGCAGATAAGCCAGCTTGGTAAAACAGTAGAAGCATCTTCTACTTCTCATTTCTCAACAGCCCCACCTCCACCAGCATCTAAATATTCAATCTTCCTCTCTCTCTAACACACACACACACACACACACACACACACACACACACACACATCTTTCCATAGCAAAACAAATAGTTTAAGAGGCAGATGGTGGGGGTTTTTTGTTTGTTTGTTTTGTTTTGTTTTTTTAGGGTGTGCTCTCTCTCGAAGACAATTTTTAATATTAAAAAGAAAATCCAGCTAATGCTGGCTATTAGTTACTTGTAACACTTCTCCGATGGAAAATGTTGGCTGTACTCATTATTTTCCATCTTCAATCCAGTCTCTCTCCCTGAGAAAACGCTCTCCCCAGCCCCACGTTAACTCCGTTATTATAGTCTGTCTTTGAGGTGGAACCTTTTCAAGGGTTTTGAAAGTTTAAATAAATTATGCACCCTGCTTATTTACCCTCTCAAATCATTCCAAATGATTGCAGAGACACGCCTGCTCTGTATATAAACCATGCTGCTTTCCCCCTAACGGATTATGTCTGCTTATTTGATAAATATTTTATATTTGTTTTAGGTGTTACCAACTTGCCACATATGTATGAGGCTGGTATTAGTCCCCGGATCCAAACGGAACTCTTTTTCTCCCATAAAAATCTGGATAGGTGCATAAATTATCCAGGATAACAACCAACTCAGAAATTATTCTCTTTTGGTATGATAATACTTCATAGCTTTTATTCTTCTAACCTATTTCTAATGATGTTTAACCTTAAAGCGAGCAGCCCTGGCTGATTTGGCTCAGTGGATAGAGCTTTGGCCCTTGAACTGAAGAGTCCCAGGTTCGATTCCAGTCAAGGGCACATGCCTCGGTTGCAGGCCCGATCTCCAGCCCTGGCTGGGGCGCATGCAGGAAGCAACCAATCAATGTGTCTCTCTCACATCAATGTTTCTCTCTGTGTCTCTCCCCCTCCCACTCTCTCTAAAAATCAATGGAAAAATATCTTTGGGTGAGGATTAACAAAACAAAATATAACAAAGAGCATTTTAACATTAGAATCACCATTAGGGATTCTGTATCTATCTGCATATACATATGTGTATATGCATATATACACATACTAGTACAATCAATAACTATTTCAGGATTCTGAATAACATGTAAATAACAATATTAAGCTGTACAATGGAAAATAAAAATTTATTTTAAAAGAGAATTTGTAAATCGGATAATGATGTGCACATAATTACATTTTACTTGTATAAAAATTCTCCATTTCCAGTCCCTTTAATAAGATATGACTGTAGCTTCATTGGTGGGTATGAAGTTAGTGAGGTAATAATTAGCTTTGGGCCTTAGGGCAGGGAGTGGGGTGACCTCTCCAAGCACATGCCTGTTCCGGATGTTTAGGCTACAAATTCAAGGGAGCCTGAGTGCCCACCCTTAGGGATATTGCGTCTACAGGGGAGGCAGGCAGCAATCAATGAGCTTCGCCACGGTAATGAGGACTGTGGTCAGGTGGGCCCAGGAGTTCCATCGGAGCACTGAGGAGGACTGTGTCAATAAGGCTGCCGGTGGGACTCCTTGCTGAGAAATGGAAATGTTTTCCATTTCCTTCATATCAATACAAGTTAACAAATGGCTATTCCATGTTTGCTATTTGCCAGGCATCGCGGGAGACAAGTTTTACCTCCTGTCTATATGGGCCCTTCAGACCAACAGCAACATAACACGCCATAGGTGAAAATTTACAAGGAGGGAGCTTATTATTATGAGGTAGTGGAGGCCTAATGATCTTTGAGTGGTCTGGATGGACCAATCGTCCTAGCTCCTTTTTAATAATAAGATTCACTCAAGCCTCTGATTTTTGCCCTAAAACAGTTTTGCCCTCTTGAAAAAAAGAATTATTACAAGAACGGAAGGGAAAGGCCATTTCAGGATACTGAGTAATTAGCCCTGCAGCCAAGGAAGGAGTACTAGGTAGGAGCTGTTATTCAGGGGGGATGAAGTGATGAAAAGAGCTTTATTGAAAAACATTCCTTCCCTCTTCTGAACGTGACCTTCACATTGGGAGCTTCTTCAAGAGAAAAGTTAGCACCATGTTCGGCACATGTTACAACCTGTTTCTCCGTGTTCTTTCGGGCTTCCCTCCGCCTCCCGGCACCTTCCTGGCACCCTCTGTCCTCCGATGCGTGCACACACAGGATCCCAGACGTGGACAAGAGCTGCCGACATACAGCAAATGACACTCTGTTTTTAGCGGTTGAGGCTCGCTCTGTTAGCTTGTAGCTAATGCATAAAATGTTAATACTTCTTTAAAAGAACATATGTTACCATCTCCATGCCTTGTCAAACACACTCTAATCTGTTAGCAATTTTAGACCTGACAAAAGCTTGTTCTTGGCCACACATCCGTCTCCATTGTATATCCTATGCAAGTTCAAAGGATGATGATGACATAAAATAGCACATGTCTTGGTTGTTAGCTAGCTCTACACTGTGTTATATGAATGCACTAATTTCCCTGTATGGAATTGAATATGCCTCTGGGTGTGTTCCGGTTGGCCTGATGCATTCATTTTACTCTAGTCCTTTTTCTGTCCCCCTCTCTTTATTGACCCAATGCATCCAGATCGAAAATGGGAAGAAAAAAAAATTGACTCCAAGAGTAAGGGATTGCAATGTAGTGATTTCACGCTCAGTTGTTGGCTAACAAGGCGCCATAGTTTTTATTTCGTGAGGCCGGTGGCAGGAGATGAGGAATTGTGTAAGGCCCAGCTGCCACGGTTACAGAGCAAGCAGCTTAAAGGACTTCAGGGTTCCAAGTGTGAGGGGAATTGTCTCTTCCCAGCAGGTAAGGGATAGATCTAGACAACGTCTGTCGTGTTCAGGATGCTGACTGGCCTGGCCAATTCATAAATCTGAAAAATTACAACATCCTCCAGTTGGGAAGAAGTGGAAGAGACATTTAGTGATGCACTTAACCCTTTTAGTGCCATGGATGTAAGATCTGCCTCCTGCTTGCTGGTGTTTTCCATTCTCCTTTATTCTTTTAATAAGGGGGGTGGGGGGCGTTTTTTGTTTAAAGCATTTTTTAAGTGCAATTCCTCTCTGCAAATCTTTTTTTTAATTAAAATATATGAGATCAACTAATGAATTATCTATTTAGGTGAAATCTAGTCAGTCAGTCTATTCACTTTTGCCTCTCTGAAGCAAGATAATGTAAATACATTTACTTTTTTTTCCAGACAATTGATGATGTTTTTTACATGTTTGTCTAACAGAACTGGAAAAGCTTGATATTTATGTACTGGTTTTGTGTGTGTTTGTGCACGCACATGTATGCGTGGAACCACCACTACATTTTTACAACTGTTTAAGCATTTAAACTTTAGTATATAATAATTTTTGTTAAGTCAAATAGCCTGCTGAATTTGTCCTTTCCTTCATCTATGAAAGGTGGTCTGCTAATAAAGGTTCTAAAGAGGAACACAAGGGAGAATGTGTAGCCCATTAAGAAACCTGTTTTCAAGCATGTTGCAAGCATGTTAAAATTACTATTAATATGGTAAGTCCAAGTGAGCCTGTAAAGGACCTCCACTTGATAAAATTAGTCCTCTTCTCGTTTCTGTAGAGACTCAATACATTGTATCTCTCTCTTTTCTTTAAATCTTCCCCCCAGGAGTTGTTGGTTTTTTAAAATTGATTTTTATTTTATTTTTTTTTTTGAGAGAGAGAGAGAGAAACATTGATGTGAGAGATAAACATCCATCATTTGCTTCTCATATGCATCCCGACCAGGAATTGAGCTCACAACCTAGATATGTGCCCTGACTGGGAATCAAACCTGCCACTTTTTGGTGTACATGATAACACTCCAACCAGTGGAGCCACCCAGCCAGAGCTACAACTGTATCTCTTTAAAGAGTATTAGAATTTAGATTTTTATTTTAGCTGTGTCTTTCAGGCCATGCATGAATCCAAGTTAGGTTTTACTATAACAAACATAAGACTCATATTTCTTTATTATTTGCCTCATTAATGCATAAAGTATTTTGTCGGTTTTATCTGGAGGACTCTTCACTAAAGAGCATGGATGTCATTATTAATATTTGCTCTTTAATGTCTGCACTGTTCCGGGGATTGTATACCTCATGAAGCAGGCATAATCTGTTCCTTACACTGGAATTCTCTCGTGGAGACTACTCCATTTGCTTCTGCCTTAGTGTTCAGCCGTTTAGTGTCCTCATCCCCCTCTTGTCTGCACCCTGGTCTTCAGGCGGTGTCATAGTTTGGGACAGAGAAATCAATCCCCAAGTAAGTCACATTTGCTCACAGTTGCAGGTCCAGTGGGAGCATCCTTATCAGGTCCAAACCCTTGACAGCAAATGTCCCTATTAAAAGTGACTCATTGCTATTCAAATGCAGATATTATGGATCTCATATTGCTCTCATTCATGCAAAACAACTTCACCTGTTGAAAGCCTGAGGGAATGTGGTTAGCGCCAGGCTTGGGCAAACTACGGCCTGAGGGCTGGATCCGGCCAGTTTGAAATGAATAAAACTAAAAAAAAAAAAAAAAAAAAAAAGACCGTACCCTTTTATGTAATGATGTTTACTTTGAATTTATATTAGTTCACACAAACACGCCATCCATGCTTTTGTTCCGGCCGGCCCTCCGGTCCAGTTTAAGAACCCATTGTGGCCCTCGAGTCAAAAAGTTTGCCCACCCCGGGTTAGCCTATGCAGTGGAGAGCTGGACCCAAGTTTCCATTAACTCTAGAATCATGATGGGGTTTCATTTAAAACTAAACTTTTTTATTTCCTGATTTTTATTTCTCTAATTCCTTAGCAGTTCTATGAAATCATGTTTGCCATTCTTGGAATGGCTTCCCTCTTGGAGGTCCCCATTTGATTCCAAAAGGGCACTTTGGTTCCTTATCCCATAGATGAAGATAAAAGCATAATATGCTAATTAGACCTGATGTACTTCTAGATGGCCTTCTGGATGAAACCTGGGCTGCAAGGGAAGCCTGGGCCCCAGGTGCTGGAAGGAAGGCCTACTCTTGCACGAATTTCATGCATCAGGCCTCTAGTAGATGAAGAGGAAAACGCTTCCCTTTTCTCTCTGTACATTCTCCCTTTGATCAGACTCCATACCTAGATGGTTGACAACATCCACCGGCAGCTAAATACTCACATTTCATGGTCACTAAGGTAGAAAGAGGAGTCTCAGTTTTGCCCATTTATGATGTAATATTATGGCCCACAGAACTCAAAAGAAGTAAAGTAGTCCAAAGAAATGGAAATGAAAGCCAACGTGAAATGGAAAAATCCTTGCAGACTCAGTTGGAGTTATACCCATACATTATATAAAACCAAGCCTGTGTGTTTGGGATTATGGTATTCTTAAAGGCAACCAATGGTTTAATTAGTATATTAACCAGTCAGACTTTCCTCATGTGGTTACAACTTCTCCAAAGCCACCACAGAAAAATTATAGCTTCCCATATAGACCACTTCTTCATAGTGTTGTGTCTTGTGAATTGTGGTATGATCTTTTGGTCTCCACAGATACATGGCAACTTCAGAGTAATTTAGAATATAGTGGGGAAAGTAGCAACTGGAATTACCATTTGGGGATTTTCACAACCAGTAAAACATGTTTTCCCTCCTCCTCCCATTTTATCGCTAAATCTCTAGATAGGAACAACCGGGTAGTATAAAAAATCATTATGATGGATAAGACCTTTATTATATTTTAGATTCACCTTTATGCATCTCTTAGATATCTGGTAAAGCTAAGTGGACATTTTTTAAGCTTTAATAGTTTCACTCTTGGAGATTTTAAGCATTTCTGGTGTTGGTGTTGTATTCTAGTCGTAAGTCATGTCAAAGTTGCTTCCAGGATTTTCCTCCAGTAACTTATTATGTGCTAGGGCTGTAAAGTTTAATTAGCTATTATTACTGAACTAAAGGAACTGACAGTTGATCAAGAGAGACATACATATGAATATCTCAGTTTAATTTACGTGGGAAATGCTGTAGCCCTAATGTGGAAGATGTGATGTAGGAGACAGACTAGCAACTGAGACCAGCATGTAGATAATATAACTGCACATAAATGTGGAAGCATTGTTAGTACCACTTGCCTGGCTTGTGGCTTGTATATGGGAATGGTGACATAGTAATTGCATGGCCCACAGGTTGAGTGCCATTTTCTTTCTACATAAGATAAAACTAGAAAGAGGTACCAAATGTTTATAAAGCAACCCAAGTTATGCTCTAAGAATCTGGTGGAGAAATTGATGCACCTGTGTCTGTGAGGTGTGAGTGATGGAGTGGGGCTCTGGCTAGGCCTTGACCAACTGCAGAGCTGGGAGGGCATGGGGATGGGAAGCATAATGAAGAGACCCATCTGGCTGGGTCCAAACATTCTCCTAAAAAGCTGCAAAGGTTGGGATGGAAGAACCAATAAGACGCCTAGACAAAGGGGCTTGAACTATAGGCAGAGAAACTTTCAGCCCCATGTAACAGACAGTAAGTGTTTATTGTGCCACTGAGCAGGGAAATTATAGTGAGATTATAATGTTGTTTTTTTAAATAACATTTGTCCCGGAGGAGGCTCTGATTACAATGTATTATATATTTATTGTAAATTTTTGGAAAAGCATGAAAATAAATTCCTTGGAGTACTAATACCTCAGAAATGATTTTGGTTAACATTTTAGTGTATATGGGGCTTGGGTAATTGTGTGGTGTTTTTTTGTTTGTTTGTTTGGTTGGTTTTTCTTTACAAAATTGTATTCATACTTTATATTAATCTATATAACTTATTTTTTAAATTTTCTTTTTTAAACTACAGTTTACTCTCGAGCTTAGTTTGTATTAGCTTCAGGTATACAACATAGTGGTTAGAAATTATATACTTTACAAAGTTTTCCCCCTGGTATTTTTAGTACCCACCTGGCACCGTACATAGTTATAACAATACTAGAGGCCCAGTGCATGGATTCGTGCACTGGTCGGGGGAGGGGAGTCCCTCAGCCCAGCCTGTGCCCTCTCACAATCTGGGACCGCTGGCTCCTAACCACTCATCTGCCTGCCTGCCTGAATGCCCCTAACCACTCTGCCTGCCTGATCGCCCCTAACCACTCACCTGCCTGCCTGATCGCTCGGCGTTGAGCATCTGCCCCTGGTGGTGATTGCACGTCATAGCTACCAGTCGGGGGTCACTTAGGCTTTTATATATATAATTTTTTGTCATCTGTTTTTTTCACTTAGTAAAATCTTGGACATTTTCCTATATCATAGAATACTCTTTCGATGTCTTTTTTCTCTTTTTTTGGCAATGTCATTCTTAATGGTGTATATTCCTTCCTAGGAATGTGCCACCATTCAGCATTAAAACTGTTTTCAATTTCGAACTATTACAAGTCATGTTGCAGTAAAGATCCTTGCATATAAATCTTTCCATTCATTGCTAACTTTTTCCTTAGGCTAAATTTTCAGAAATTCTAACTCAGGTTTTGAGCCCACAGGCCTGGATAAGTGAGGTTTACTGATATATACTGCCACATTGAAAACACTATTTTAGAAAAATAAAGTAGATGCAGTGAGCAGCATGGCATGGATGAGAGGTCCTGTGGGAAGCAATTCATTCTAGTGCTGAAGAATTCCTGGACCCAACAGCTGTGGTTCAAATCCTGGCTCTGCGTGGTGTACGATAAACTCATCTCTGTGTAATGAGTTAATTAATAGGAAGCAATCAGAGCAGTGCGTGGCACAGAATAACTCACATCCCTGAGTTGCTCTTAGTATTATTATGATGATAACTTAAGTTTGAAGTGATGA